GGAAGAGAATAGAATATGATAAAATAAAGATGGAATAGATAGAAGAAAAAAAAAACCGGTAAAACATAGATCATCGTAGTGAAATATGAATTTTAAAAAAAAAAAAAAGTGAAGAAATTGAATTCTCATTTTAACTACATAGATTAGAACAAATAATGACAAAGTATAAAAGGATAAATTGATGGATGGTGAAATAGTGGCATTAAGTGACAACAAACTTGACAGATCACAAATGACAACGTATGACATATCATCAACCAACAAATCCACGAATGCGTGTATGCACGCATGCATGAACGATAACATGCATACCATTCAATGTTATCATTGTCATATGATATATATGATAAATCACTCACACATATACACAACAAAAATCAAACAAGAATTGAAATAAAATGTGTCACAATAGGATAATTCATATCCAACAAAAATCCCCGAGAATTTCTAATATCAAATAATTAATAATATTTTAATGATTCGATAGAGTACCATAGAGTAAATTATTGAAATAATTAATCAAGAAATTGACACAATGTCAAGAAAGTTTATTTTCTATCTTAATGAATGGCTAAATAATGTATGTGTATTGAAAACATATTAATATAAGTGCAATATAAATTCCCTCTTGTAATTTATTTGAAATGATTAAATAATTAATCAATAAATGAATAAATCTCATTTATGAATAATATGAATCAAATGAAGTGTGATAAATGAAGACTTACTGTTATTAATTTATGACGATTTGTTGTTGAACAGATAATCGAAAGAGAGAAAATATATATATTTTCTTCTCAATTATCTACGTATTATTTCAATAGATGGATATATGCGTTAAATTATTTAAATGATGATTTATGTTCAACTGATTGTCATTCAAATAGAATATTAGAAATGTCGTTATTCACTCGTAATTTGATCCAAATTTCACTAAATAATTTATCATAATAGAATGCTAAATAAGTGATAAGCTGTTGTTAATTGATAATAATGATAAATGGTTGAATAATTAAAATGAAAGAAATGATAAATAAATACATGATGGAAAAGTATCCAATTAAATTACTGTAAAAAAAAAGAAATTACTGTACAGTATCCAATAACAATGCAACATTTTTATTCCGGCATAAACGGAATGAAAATATGGAAATGTGCAAAGAGAGACGTATCCTTAAATTTTGCCAGAACAATAACAGTATCTTCGTTCCACCGTATTCCACGGATGAATCAATTAGCGCGCCAGATATCACGTTTGAAAAATCTAAGCATAACACAATCATATTATAGAGATAATTCGGGAAAGAGAAAGTAAGAAAATAAAATAACATTAGGAAGAGATAAAAACAAAAAGAACGGGGTAAACAAATGATGAAACAAAGGAAGCAATTAGAAGCATAAACAGTAGTATACATAGGATAAGAAATGAACAATATTGGTTATTATTTAAAAGTAAAATTACTCTAAATGTTTAATGAAAGGTTAAAGTAAAAGTTAAACACGAATTTATTAAAAGTCAAAGGTTAAAAGGTTAAAATGATAATCATGTAATGATAAGAAAGTTATACAATATGAAAAGCATTTTACTTTTTCATATAATACAATCAATCATACTTGATCATTCACTGATAAATTAACCCGTAGAGTAATTAGTGTTTTTTTTCTAAGATAATTAAATCATTAAAATTAATAATTTGGAAGATTTACGATTTAATTCCGCATCCTATTCCATTCCATTGTTTCATCTCATTTCATCTCATCTCTCATCACTTCCCATCCCAATTTCCTTCTTCCCATGATTGTTGATAAAATTTACAAAATGAAAAACAAAACAATAATACCTTCCCAATAAAATTAAACTTAAATCGGTCAAAGTGATTGTAAGAGAATACAAACAGTAAAATTGTAAAATAATTAAACTAAAAAAACTCATTTACAATCTTATTTCTAAAGAAAAAAAAATAATTATGAAAAATTAGGATATATTTTAATTTGCATATGTCATACGCATATAACAAATATGTCACAAATAGAGAAATGAGAGCTTCTCATCAAAAAGTGCAAATCGATACCATCACCTGATAAGGAGGAAGAGGAGGAAGAGCAGGATAAGGATGAGAAGAGGGAGGAAGAGGAGGAAAAGGAGAAGGAGGAGGAGGAGGAGCAGGGTTGCAATATTTCCAAAGGCAAAAATATCTTCTCCTCAATTATCATTCTTTTTTGAATTCAATAAAAAGTTTCAATATTGTTCGAGAAAATGAGGGCAATACGACAAAAACTACAACAATAACAAACAATAACAATACCAACAATAATAATAATAATAATAATAATAATAATAATAATAATAATAATAATAATAATAATAATAATAATAATAATAATAATAATAATAATAATAATAATAATAATAATAATAATAATAATAATAATAATAATAATAATAAT